TTTTTGCTTAATCGCTTAGATTCTAGTCTAGTCTTAGTGTGTTATTATCCTTTATTTTTCACAGAGATGCAAGGTAATTGCCCTTGTTCTATAAGGATTTTAATATTCTAATTGGCCACTGAATTCATCTCTGTTTTCAGGAATACATGTTTGGAAAATACTTAAATTGATTCTTATACTAAAGACAGTTTCAGTCTTTGGTTTCAGATGCAGCAAATCTCATATTCAGATTGTCCACATACCTGAGTCCTCTAGGTTGATAAGCAGCCTCATGTCTGTAGATTAATATTAATCAACCTGGAGGGTAAGCTTACTGTGCCTGAGTGTTCTGACCACAGCGTTTATTTCACTCACTTTAATGCTGCAGATTTTACTTCCTAATAAAATGTGGCGTTGGCTGAGATTTGCTTTGTATTGTTTCTGGCTTCCTTATCCTCCTTCAGTAAAGCATTCCTGAACTATACGTCTTGTATCTGAGGAATTTCTGCACATAGTTGTTCATGGACAAATTGCCATTCAACTCAAGTTTTCAGAACTGCCAGAATATTGGGTATTTAAACTATTAGGAATTAAAAGTCCTGTTTTCAGATCTGTGTGGTAAAAGCTGTACTTTCACGTACATTTTGGAAATTTCTGTCTGTTTTAATTTAAAGCTCTGCCCTTAATTTCCACTTAGAAAAACACTTGTCTCACGATCAGACACTGTGGATGGTGAAGTCCAAATATAACTTACATGAAATACAGGCATTCGAAGAAAACATTGACTCACTGAGGTAGAGGCTAATACTTTGGGCCTTTCCTTCCTGTTTTAAACTCATATTTGCTTTTCTTTAAAAAATTTTTTTTTGTTGTCTGTCTTCTGTCTTTGTTAGCCATGAATTTGACTCTGAACATGTTCCCGACCTGACAAAAGAACCCTACGTTCAGGACATCCATTCCGTGGGCTCCCTGTGTAAGCTCTATTTCCGGGAGCTCCCAAACCCTCTGCTCACCTACCAGCTGTATGAGAAGTTTTCTGTGAGTACCAGTCACTTTTAAGTCAAATTCTGCTTGGAGTTTTGCTGTGGTTTTGTTCAATACGTGTAAAGATGAGTTTGGTCATATAAGAAACAGTTCTCTGAGTAAAAACATTCCTGTGAAACAGAACAAAACAGCGCTTGCTAGCTAGACATAGTCTCCACTGTTTTCACATCTTCATTCTTTCATTTCTGACTTTGAGCCACAGTCTTATAACCCTTGATGCTGGTTATCATAAAGTTTCAAAAATACTATTTTTGATAGATTTCAATGTCCACGCTCTGTTTACTTCTTGATACTACATTATGTTTCCCTATCCATTCGGCATCAAAGAGTAAAGTCAGTTAATCTCAAAGTGAAACTGAATTGTAAGTGAAGAACTTGCATTTTTACCAACAAAGCCTGCTAGTCATTCCGCGTTATGGTCGTTCCAGGATGCTGTTTCAGCAGCAACAGATGAAGAAAGGCTGATAAAAATCCACGATGTCATCCAGCAGCTCCCCCCTCCACACTACAGGTAGGCGGCACGTTGTGAATACCAGCCTAACGCGGAAGTCAGTTGTGTGGAGGTGGGTTTTTTTCCCCTTGGGGTTTCTGACTGTTTAAATTTCCTTGGAGTTCCAACCATTTAAACTTCTGTTTTTTCTATACATTTATAGTTATTTGCCTCTGTATCCCTGGGGTCTGGCACAGTGCTTGACATTCATCAAGCCCTAAATAAATATTGAATGAATGTATGCATGGATGAACAAATGGGGAGTTGACTGAACCTGTGTGCACATCTGTTTGCTGAGACACAGAAATTGCAGAAGGTGCTGGGCGGGTTTGGGTTAGGGTTAGGGTTAGGTGTCCTTGAAATTGGTTGTCTAACATCCAGGAGCAAATGTTCCTAGAGCTTTCTGCAAAACTAAGGCTGTTTTTTTCTGAGCCAGTCCTGCCAGAAACTTCCATTTCTTACTGCATCTGCCTTGGACTTTCTTCCCTTCCTGTTCTATAGATGGAATTGCTGTATATAAAGTTCAGAATTAATAACAGGCTTTTTTTCCCTGAGTATTCTGTAGATGGAATTACTGTACATAAACTGTAGAATTAATAATATTTTGGCAGTTCTGTAGTGATAGTAACATTCAAACCTAATAGGCAGCAAAAAGAATTTGCTGGGGTTTATATGGCTTCTTTTTCCATTTTGCTGTTGGAAACTTAAAAATCAGTAGTGGGGCTTTTACGCTCTGTCCTGCTACCTGATGTTTCTTTTTGTTAATATGTTGCATTTCATTTTCCAGAACACTGGAGTTCCTAATGAGACACTTGTCTCTTCTAGCTGACTATTGTTCCATCACAAATATGCATGCAAAAAACCTAGCAATTGTTTGGGCTCCAAACCTGCTAAGGTAAGTTACATTTGACTTATGACTTGAAGTAGAACCAGTCATCTTAAATAAAGGTCTAGTTCGTCAGTGTTTGTTAAGGATAATTTTTAAAAGTGAAACTAACCTGTTATTTTTATGAGCATCTCCCTTAAGCAGGCAGTCGGGGTTCAGCCACAGCGCTGTGGAAGTGTGATTTCCTCCTGTGGGTGTCTGTGATTTGCACATAAACAAAAAAATAATCCTCTTTAATTTGACTATTGGGGGACTTTCTGATGGTAATGCTGTTTACCCCACAGATCAAAACAGATAGAATCTGCCTGCTTCAGTGGAACAGCGGCTTTCATGGAAGTGAGAATTCAGTCTGTGGTTGTTGAGTTCATCCTCAATCACGTCGACGTCCTCTTCAGCGGGAGAATCAGTGCAGCCATGCAGGAAGGGGCAGGTGTGGCTCGAGCACACGCTCTTCACTGCCGGAGACGCGTAGTACGACTTCCGAAGGACTGGAAAACTGCGTTTCTTGTCTCAATTTAATAAATCTGACTTTGATAGGCAGTAGATCATTTATGTCTGTTTCCCAAAATGCACAATTTGACAGTTATTTTGTGTGGTCTTAGTGAATACTAAATATTAGACCTATTGTGATTTAAGCTCAGGGCACATTAAAAAACGTATCATGTCATCTGTCATTGATGTGTATAAAGGTGCAATACAGAGCAGCAGTAGAAAAATTCCTTCCCAAGCTAAAAATGCATGCGTGAGACTAGGCCGTGCCTGGTATCTTTCAAGAAAGGAAAATAGTTAAATTACTTAAGGAAGTTTTTATATACATCTACGTGTGTATGTGTATTTATATATATATACACACACATGCACGTCACTGCTAATAACCCTGCATGTCACCTTCTGTTCCTCACTTAGTGTAAGGCTCTATTATTTTTGCCATTTAAAAACCATAATGAAGAAGATTTAAAACAACAGACAGGTAGCTATACGGAGGGACAGATAAGCAGATTGTTGTACACACATGCTCACACATATTTATGTTTTTCTCCCTTTGTCAAAGTTTGACTCTTTACATGGCTTTGTTTTTCTTTCCAGCTTCTCTTTCAAGACCCAAGTCCCTGCTGGTTCCGTCTCCATCCACCAAGCTGCTGACGCTGGAGGAAGCCCAGGCACGAACACAAGCTCAGGTCACCTCCCCAGCTGTGAGTGAAAATAAATACATCGAAGTGGGAGAGGGGCCCGCCGCCCTTCAGGGGAGGTTCCACACCGTAATCGAGTTCCCGCTTGAAAGGTAAGTTGCACACAGTCCTCCTTCAAAATCTGCGTCTCGCGGCTACATGCTATCTCTTTTACTTTTGCTGCTGTATTTTAGTATTACTGTATTGATTCTGGGCCAGTCCCTGAAAAACCTGTTCATTCGACTGTGGATGTGACTTCATAGGGAGTGATATGAATGACTCTCAAAACGCGTTGCGTCATGTCGTTGTAAAGAAGAGGGAGGTCAGCTGTACAGGGAAAACTGTTAGGAAAAAATGATATGCTTCCACTGGGTGGGGTGTGATTTTCTCTCTGAAATATGTTATTGAGAAATGTGTCTAGAAATAAACTGTTGTGACAGCTTATTCAGAAAGTGATGCAAGGATAGCGGCTTGGTTGCTGTTGGTTCTCGTTAAGTTTGGAGCAGACCAGTGCTTCTCCGACCAACAGCTCACTCTTGGGCCCCAGCCCAGACCCCAGGGTCAGAAACTCTGGGGTGGGGCCCAGCAGTCAGTGCTTCGTCACGCCTTGCAGGTGGTTCTGAGGTGTGCCAGCGTGTGAGAAGCACTGCTGCTCCCTCCCTCAGTGTCCTGTCCAGCTCTGATGCTCGGTTTTTCTGTTAAGAAATGGTAATAACAGAGTTTCTGTATCTTCTTTACTAAGTTATCGTGGGAAGGCTAATGTATATGTTCATTTTGGTCTCGGCTGCTGCTTTGGCTGTTACACAAGAATGTCGGGCCTTCACCTTCCTGAACTGGACAGTACAAGTAAAAGCTGAGAATGTATTTCCGTGTTTCCGTATGCCTTTCCAACTTCCTTTCCCCTCCCTTGATTAGCATGGCCCGGCAGTAGAAAGTCAGCACATACTTTTCCTTTGTCATCCTGGGGTTGTCTTCAGCTTCCTGAATTTATAGTTCAGCTCTGTAATTTTCTCAAAAACCTCTTTACAGAGAAGTAGTCAGGAGTGTCAGTGCTGGGCTGCAGGCAGACTGGGTTCCAGCCCCGACGCCAGCATCCACTGGTTTCACAGCGTTAAGGACGTCACTTACGCGTCTCCGGGTCATGGTTTCCCTCAGCTGTGCAAGGAGAGGAGCAGTACCTACCTCCCGTGGTTTTACGTAACTTCAGTGAGATGCTGTCTGTGCAGTTAGTGTGAATCCCAGGCTGTCAGTGTGTTAGTTACTATTTTTAATACTTTTCTTTTTTGACTTAATTCTCATTACTCACACCTAAAATCATTTTCTTCAATTCAGTTCTACTTTCGGAGTTTTAATATTTCCTATCCCCAAATATTCTTATTCTCACTTATTTCACGGACTGTGAGGTTAGATCTAAATATGAAAATCTGTGTAAGAATCACCTTTGCGAAACTGTCACACATTTCATTCTCGTTTCTTTCGCTGTGCAGCTCAGCCACACGGGGTAGCGCGTGCCCTGTGGAAGGTGGCTGTTTGCGCTTCAGCTGTGCCCCCCAGGCTCTTGAGTTCTATCACTTGTTGATTTTCCATTAGTAAAGGTAGCCCCTTGGATACCTTAATACAGGTTATTTTCTCTCTCATAGGAGGAGGCCTCAAAATAAAATGAAAAAAGTCTCCCGTGGGCAGCTGGCGTTCCTTTTTCAACTTGGGGAAATCGTCATCTGTTTCTAAAAGGAAGCGCAGCGCAACGAGAGCGAGCCTTCCGAGATGAAGGCCGCGGCTCTGAAAGGTCAGCTCCTCCCCGCGGTGCTGCAGCGGGGCGGGCCGCCGGGGGGCGCGCTCCTGTCCTGTGGCTGGCGGGGTGGACCACCGCAGGGTGGACCACCGCGGGGTGCGCTCCTGTCCTGTCCCGTCGCCGGCGGGGCGGGCCGCCAGGGGCGCGCTCCTGCCCTGTGGCCGGGCTCTCTCACTCCGGGCACAGACTCAGCACGCTGTTGTGACAGGCCTCACAGGATATGTCCCAATTGTGTTGCTACATTTAAATTGTCTCCTTTTACTAATTCTTTATCCCCAAGTATATATTATGTATAAATGTGTAGAAGTACCCAATTTCTCATGGAAACTATACAGGTTACATGTAGTGTAAATGTGCTTAAAAAGTCACAACGTATCCTAATCTAGTTTGCATATGGTTGGTAATAAAAAATAACTGCTGTGGTGTTTTACATTTATTAATCTGTATTTTTACAGATTTAAAAAATGACAAAATTATGTTTCAACATGCTTGAAAAGTTTGTAACTCTTACAACCAAAGGAGGTATCTTTTTACTAGATGATTCATTGATGAGAGTGTCGCAGAGAAATCTATCACTGTGTTGTTGAAAGGGCTACTCTTTTAAAAATCATTCAAGTTCTGAATCTAGGAAGGACAGTAGTGTTTACTTCTTAGGTAATGTTAGAAATACAGCGTTCAGTTCATTTCATTCATCACTGATACCATTTGCAATCATGCACTAAGCATGCGCTCAGTATTTTGATAGCAGCCTCTGCGGATAGAAAGACACTGCCCTGCCTTCCGTGTCTCACTTGGGAAGTCATACGTGTAAGGAGATTAATTTCATGCAGAATCATAGCTATTGAAATAGAGGTTTATGCGAGGTAATTTTGGCAGGAATTGTCATTTCACCAGGGGAGAGGGGCCGATGGTCAGAGAGTAGAACCTGTGACTTAGGTTTTGAAGCGTGAGTACCAGTCACCTGATCAGCAAGGGACTGAGAAAGGGATTTCAGGAAATGGCAGCAGAGTGTGCTGGTCTGTGAAGCAGTGAGCAGTAAAGAGCTTGGCTGGGGAGGATGGTACAGAAAGAGATTCAGC